GACACTCATTTTTTCAAGTGTGAACTCAATTTTTTCTTTTATTCTTGATTACTATTTTTATTTCATTTTTTATAGGTTATTTTCTATAAAACATTTTGTTTTGTTTATTTAAATATATATTTTATTTATGTATTAAATATTTTTTCTTCACCTCTTCGTTTTCTACTACTATTTCTTCCATTAAGCCTGGCTTACTGTGCAAAACGCAACACTGAAGTCACAAGAATTGAAGAAGTTTTTACTACTTAAGTCGTTTAAACTCCTTTTTACTCTAAGGATTTTCGTATATAATATATATATATGTGTCTATGCCTGTGTATATATGAGTGTGAATGCTCAGATATGGTTGTAAGTAAAGAATAATTTCGCTAAAAAATGAAGAAAGTACTATAATTATCATTATATTTTTTTATTGTTTTTGTCATTTATTTGCATAAGTCTATTTCGTAAGTATAAATAGCAGTAAATGTTAACCACGATTATAAACAAATCAACTATTTTTAATTTTTAGTTGATTAAAATTATAATTAAATTTAATAACTAATTTTTGAAATGTATGAAAATAATAAAATAACTGCCAAATTTCATTTAAACAACAACAGTAATTAAAGTTGAAGTAAAAAATTTTTGATGCAACGAAATTTAATAATCGTGATGTAATTTTACACATACTTAATATTCTTATTAAAATATATTATATAGTTTCAAAAAACCGCAAAAGTAATTAAATAATTATAAAACTTACAAAAGCAAATTATAAAACTTGATTGCTGAGTAAAAAATGTATTTTTATACTAATTTCAAGGTTAGCTCTTTATATAGTTTATATACCGAGATACTGAGTATTAATAAAAGCTTATCGAACAAAAAACTTTAATCTCTGTTTAATTTTAAATATAAAACATTAATTAATTGAAGAGGTAACACATTTTAGTGCTTAAAACAATTCGGAATTTATGATAGCTCATTTATTTTCTTTGGAAAATTTGTAATCATTTTGTGGGAGAGTCATCTTTTTTCAAAATATTTGTATACCTCTACTTTTTTATCATATAGATATACGGCATACATACGCATTTTTATTAAACGGTTTTCAAATATGAAGAATATTTTTTATTGTACGTTTTGGTATGAGATTTAAGCCCATTGAAACCACCTTTTAGGAATGAATAGAGAAGATTTCCACAACAATGTTGAAGCTTTACTCCAGTAATCAGCAGAGATGTGAGCGTTTGGTTAGATTAGGTTGGAGTGGCGACCAAGAAAACCCACTTAAGCGCAACAATGGACCATTGTGGTACCATAGACGGTTCGTCTATAGTTCGTACAGAGACGAGGTGGTCAATATACGACCAACGCCGAAGAAGGCAACGACTCCTTCAGTAGGTGAATGTAAAGCAACCTGACAGTTTTATAAATTTGGCTACGTCACAATTAATGCAGGACGACAGCTCAATCAGATCGGTAAGAAAAAAGGCCCCAAGACTTTTAATTTTCTTCTAACTAAAAATGGTCACTGACACATGAGATAAAACACAGTTTCCTCCCAGTACTCAGAACCATAACTACGGCAAAGGTTGTTATAAGAAAGACCTAGAGTTATACGGTCCCTATCTATTATGCAGTGAATAGTCAGCCCCGATACCGTAGTTTGGAGCAGTTTCTGCTTTAGTTGAAGTTGGTACATTCACTAATATGCTAACAATTTATAACATAAAATCGCTATATGAAACTACCAAACATATATAGACTATATATAAAATTTTTTTTTTCGGTATAATATTAAGGATCGCCACCAAACAAAAAAGAATTTATATAAAATTTTATATATAATATTAATTATAATTTTCACTCTTAGCCCTATTCTAATGAAGCCCTTTAGAGAGGGGATATATTTCGTATTAATTGATATCTTATTTTATTTATTCTTTATTTTTATTTAGAGGTTTCCAAAACCAAAAATTTACTTCAAATGTATTAAATTTTGTTTCTAAATTTTTTATTTTTATTTTGAACCTTAATTTTTCGTTTTTAAGAATAAAGATATTCATGGACTACACTGCAGTTTACATACAAAATTATATATCGATTTTTACATTTAAATGCCATTAATCATTTATAACCTCGCTATGGAATTGTCACAAAGAACATTACAAAGAAATTAAAAGTGGAGAAGATTACTTCCAAAGGGTTAAGCAAACAGCTTTTTGCACTATCGCTGTTTGGTGCACTAATTTGATGAATCGTAGCAAATTTGGAATTAAATACACATTAATTTTAATGTCAAAGCTTGACTAAATATTTTTTAAATATTTTAAATATTTTTTAAACATTTTTTAAATATATAAATATTTTCATTATGAGAATTCACTTGTTACTTACTATTGAAGTTTATTATATCATATTATAAATGTATTTAGCAAATAGAAAAATAAATATGATTTCATTTATATTGGTACTCTTAATTGACAATAATGCAGATAAATGCCAACTTATTGTGCCATTTAATATTATTGACTAACGTAAGAAAGTATCGACATTCTCATACGATTTTATCATAAAATATTTTCTTCCAATAAAAAAAAAATTTCTTTTAATAGAAGAAAATTGCAATACAAACTTATTATTATGTCCTTTTTACTACGTTCATAAAT